ACCCCTGTGCATGGCTGGGTGTGACCCAAAAGGGAAAAAAAAGAAAGAAAAATTAGTTACATTGTTCTTTTCCCCTTAAAGTAAATTCAGCTTAGTATGAATCTTGAAACTGGACTCCAGTCACCCAGAAATGGTACCTTTGGTCTTGCTGTTAAGGGTGTTTTCTTATAGAGTCTGTATCCAGTGATGTTGGGGAGCCTGGAGCCATTCCTGGTGATACTTGATTTTTGGTGCAGGCTTCAGTCATTAAGGCAACACCCAGCAGCATCTGGGGGCCCAAGCAATGCCAACAGTCAGACTCAAGGCCTTGCATATGCTAGACATGTGCCCTATCAGTTGAGCTATTTCCCCGGCCTTATTAAGTGTATTTTATTAGAGAAAGTTGAGGATTGTTTTCACAGAAGGAATCTCTGCAGACTCCTAGCACCCAGCCTCTTTGGTCTTTACCTTCCCAGAACCCAGAACTTATAAGACCAGTGGCCTTTTCATCAGTGTCCTGAAGCTTAACCAGAGTAGATGAATTCAGTATCTGTGCCTTAAAATGGGTAAAGTCTTTAGGGTGGGGTGGGGGTGGGAGGACATCTTATAGGATAATGGCTTATTAAATCATGAATCAGTTCTTCATTCTGTCTCCATCGTGAGCCATCCCAGGAGACAGAACTCTCACCTTGTCTGCTTTATAACTTGTTCTCCTAGATAGTGACAATCTTTTGTTTCAAAGATTTGGACATCTGGCAAGTGAATAGAAATGTGGGCCTTTGGGGCTGGAGAGCTAGGACAGTAAGGCGCTTGCCTTGCATGCAGCCGATCTGGATTCAATCCCTCGCATCCCATATGGTTACCACCACCAGGAGTGTGATCCCTGAGCACAGAGCCAGCTATGAATCCTGAATACCACTGGGTAGCACTGTAGCACTGTCCTCCCGTTGTTCATCGATTTGCTCAAGCGGGCACCAGTAACATCTCCATTGTGAGACTTGTTGTTACTGTTTTTGTCATATCGAATATGCTAGGGGGAGCTTGCCAGGCCCTGCTGTGCAGGGGGGATACTCTCAGTTGCTTGCCGGGATCTCCGAGAGTGGCAGAGGAATTGAACCCGGGTTGGCCACGTGCAGGGCAAATGCCTTACCCGCTGTGCTATCACTCCAGCCCACCACTGGGTAAAGCCCCAAAATTTAAAAAATAAAATTTAAAGTGTGGGCCTTTGCCTAGCACTGTCTGCACTGTTCCCCTGAAAATTATTATTGATTCTTGGTCACATCGCTGATATGTGATGCTCTGAGGCAAGCCTTAGTGGCGGTGGAGACCTACTGACACACAAGTGTGAACTCTGCCGTGGGATGGGGCTTTGAGGTCTGCAGTTCCCTGCAAGGGTGGATACGAATCTTCTCAAGCATTCTATGCATTTTAAAGTCATCTGGAGACTTTGGAAGCCTCTCTGCCTGGCTCTATCAAACATCCTCCAATCAGAGCCTCCCCAGAACACGTTTCTAAAGATCCCAGTGGTTCCATGGCAGCCCAGTGGAGCTGGTCTAGATTCTGTGGTATCCTTGATGGGAGAGACTTAGCAGGGTCTTTGGGCTGTGGTGGGCTTCTGGAGGCGACTCATTCTGTCCACAAAGCAGATCTCGCTTCCAGTTTGGTACGGACTGCAGCCATCCCAGCCCCTGGTGCTGCCTTTCCAGGGGAAGCCACAGGGCTCTGGAACTCAGAGCTGGTGGGGTAAGGAGTACCACTTTCATATAAGTTCTAGAGAGTAGGGGGCCTGGGGCCACTTGCATCACTTCCCCAGGTTTGGGGTGGGAATGAGAGGGAATCATTGTGACCTTCTGTGAGATAAAAGAAAATAGGGTGAAGAAACTTTGGGTGAAGGCATCTCTGGCCTTTGCTATGCTCATAACCAGAAGTGGCCTGTTCTCACAGGAAATGACCATAGCTCAGGTGAAGAGGAGAGAGGTCTTCCAGCTGCACCATTGTTGAGCTTTTGCTTGTAGCAGTCGCACTATCGCATTGTCCTCCCATTGTTCATCCATGTGCTTGAGCGGGCACCAGTAACGTCTCCATTGTGAGACTTGTTGTTACTGTGTTTGGCATATAGAATACGCCATGGGGAGCTTGCCAGGCTCTGTCGTGCGGGTAGGATATTCTCGGTAGCTTGCCAGGCTCTCTGAGAGGGACAGAGGAATCGAACCCAGGTTGGCCGCGTGCAAGGCAAACGCCCTACCTGCTAGTTAGGTGTGAGAAAGTTGGTGCCTCCTGAGGAGTGACCACGTGGGTGCAGCAGAGATGGACCCATTTGGTGCCCACAGTCACCTGGCACTTGAGTGGAAGCTCCCACAGGGCAGGTGGGGACGGCCATAGTCAGGTCCCTCCTAGACGTGTGCCAGCATGGTTGGGACAGCCAGAATTTTCCAGGCACCATTTTATTTTTATTTTTTCTTGAGATTCTTTGAGTTACAATATTATTTATAATGTTTCCTCGTGCGCATAATTTCAACAACTCACCCATCACCAATGCAGTTGCCTCCCTTCTGAAAGGACTCTAATACCCCTCCCTTCCAGCCCCCCCCCCAACACATACCGTACAAACAAACACAATCTCTATTTTGTGGATCAGCCCTGCTGTTGTGTTGACCTTTAAGTCCCTCATATGAGAGAGATTATTCTGTATCCCTTTCCTTCACACTGACTTCATTCAGCATGAATTCATCCATTTTTTCCATCTATGTTACTGCAAATTATATGATTTTCTTTCCTTAGAGCTGCATAATATTCCATTGTGTATAGATACCACAAATTCTTTTTGTTTGGGGGCCAGACCCAGCTGTGCTCAGGGCGTATTCCTGAATTTGTCTCTCCTGATGGTGCTTGGGAGAACATATGTAGTGCTAGGGAACAAACTTGGGTCAGCTGCATGCAAGGCAAATGCCCTGCCCACTGTACAATCATTCTGGCCCCAGATTCTTCTATTTTATTTTATTTTAATTGAATCACCATGAGATACAGAGTTACAAAGCTCTTCGTGGTCAGATTTCAGTCATACAGTATTCCAACACCCATCCCTCCACCATCAATGTTCTCAATTTCTCTCCTGCCACCACCCCCCCCCCCCAGTCTACCAGTCTATCTTTATGGCAGGCACTTTCTCACTTTCTCTCTCTCTCTCTCTCTCTCTCTCTCTCTCTCTCTCTCTCTCTCTCTCTCTCTCTCCCCCCCCTTTTGGGGTTTGCATTATAGATCCTGAGAGGTTATCATGTTTACTCCTTTACCTAATTTTAGTACACAGTTCTTATTCAGGGTGATCATTTCCTCATTTCCAGCTATCTTTGTCATAGTGGTCCCTTCTCTATCCCAACTACTTTCTTCCCCAGCACTTGAGGCAGGCTTCAACCATGGACCAGTCCTCATGGCTCTTGTTTCAAGTATCACCAGGAATGGCTCCAGGCTCCCCAGCATCACTGGACTCTTAGTTTCTACTGTCCTTGGGTATTAATCTCGTCTTATGTTTTTATACCCCACAAAAGTGTGCAGTCATTCTGTGTCTGTGACTCTCCTTTGACTCATTTCACTCAGCATCATACTCTCCAGGCCCATCCATTTATAAGCAGATTTCATAACTTCATTTTTCCCAACAGCTTCTGTCCCCAAATTCTTTATCCATTCATCCATACATGGCCATTTGGGTTGCTTTGATATCTTGACCTGTGTACTAAGTGCTGTGATGACCCTGGGTGCACACCTTTTGAATTAGTGTCTTTGTGTTTGGGTGACAGATAACTGGGTTGTGTGGTGGTTCAAGTCCCATGTTTGCGAGATCTCCATGTTGAAAAATCTCCATTTTAAAGGCCTCTGGACTCGTGAATCAGCAGCGAACAGACTGTGTGAGGCTCCCACCGCCCACTCACCTCTGTGGGGAGCGTCTGCAGACGTGTCCAGCCTAGCCCTTCCCCGAAAATGGCTCCTGAGGGTGGCTGTAGGTGGGATTTGAGAACCACCAGGCTCCAGTGGGTCTAGGGCTTGTCCTTACAGTGAGGTCACAGGCTTCTTCCAGCATCTTTGAGCCTCAGGTCTGTGACAGGGAGACACAGGAAAGCTGTAGGATATCATGAACAGCGGGATTTTGTAAGGAGCACCCGAGGAAGGGCACGGTGAGGACAGACAGGCTAGAGGAGGCATCGTAACAGGGAGGAGTCACTCGTGTCCCTGCAGAGGGGAGGGGAGGGCACATGCTCCCGTGGCAGTCACAGTGGAAAGGGGCTGGTGCTGTTGGTGGGCTGTGTCCCCCACGGACAGCAGAGGTGGGGGGTGGCTCATGGCGAATTGGGGTCATGATGCAGGGGCCTATAAACTCCCCAGTCAAGCCAAGTGCCTCCAACAGCCAGAGGATGGTGCCGGGGAGGCAGCCCAGGAAGCGCGGGTGTCCCTGCTCACCAGGCCTCAGTTTCCACACTTCCGAAGGCAGGATTCTGAACCCAACTGCCGCTGCCTTCCTACTGGCTGTTTCTGAGATTTGTCCCCTTCTGAGGGCGTTTGGACCAATCACAGACAGCACCAGGAGATAGGCTGAGCGGGCACTGGGCTTAACACTGGGAACTTAACCTGGGCTGACTGTGGAGACCTCACAAGACCCTGCATTTCCTTCCTGCTGGAGCTTCCGCCCCAGCAGGAAGAAGATTGATGTCCGATTCTTCAACTTTGCTCTCCTGGCTCACCCATGGAAGGTGTGAGAGGAGGATCAGGGTGTCAGGGGCGGGCGCAGCGGGCTCAGAACCTCCTTTTACTTCTGCGTCAGCCCAAGCCCCTCCCAGGGCTGCTGCATGTCTTCCCCTGGAGCACTGAGGTACCAGGAGACAGATTGGGAGCCGGCTGCTGCCTCCCCAGGGACTGGCGGTGGGGGCTGGCCTGGCTGGCCTCATCTGTCCAGCCTCTCCTGCTGGCGCATGTCTTCTCGGTCAGAAGCCGTTGGGGTACTGTGCCAGCCTCTCTTCTCACCCCCTCAGAATGCAGGTGCCACCGAGGAAGCGCCCGCGCCGCGGAGCCCGCCCACACTGCAGGAGCTCAAGCAGAAGATCGAGAGCTACAACACGCGAGAGAAGAACTGCCTGGGCATGAAACTGGTGAGGGGCTCCGGCTCTGCCCACTAGGGCCCCTCCCTCCCTCGAGAACCTCCAGAGGCCTCAGGGCTTTGTAGACTGTTGGCCAGGGCTGGGAGCTGGCTGGAGGAGAGGGGGCCCTTTGTGCTTTGGGGAAGCCAGAATAGGGGGTTTTGGAAAAGGTCTGGGGGCTTTAGTAGGTTTATGCTTTTCCCCCTCTCTCTCTGTCTCTGTCTCTCTTTCTTTCTCTGTCTCTCTGTCTCTGTCTCTCTCTCTCCCTCCCTCCCTCCTTCCCTCACTCACTCTCCCTCTCTCTCCCCCCTTCTCTGTCTCCCCCCAAGGATGAGAGTCAGGTCTCATAAATGCAAGGCATGTTCTTTACTGCCAAGCCACATCCCTGACTTCCTCCTCCTCCTCTTCCTTCTCCTCCTCCTCCTCCTCTTCTTCCTCCTCTTTTTCTTCTCCCTTTTTCCTCTCTCCCTCCTCCTCCTCCTCCCCTTCTCCTTTTCCTCCTCCTCCTCCTCCTCCTCCTCCTCCTCCTCCTCCTGCTCCTCCTCCTCCTCCTCCTCCTCCTCCTCCTCCTCCTCCTCCTCCTCCTCCTCCTCCTCCTCCTCTGTGTGCAGTGCGCTGAGCAGATGGGAAAGGCTGTTTGCAGTGGGGAGAGGAGAAACAGTGAGAGAACTTTGTCCCCTGCTGGCGAGTGACAGCAACTACCTTTTTGGGGTTTCAGTCAGGTAGAGTGCCAGAAAATGCAGTTGTGGGGTCCTGGGGCTTAAGCCTTTCCAAAGTGTTCTTGGGAAAGAAATGCACAGGGAAATCCAGGGTGATTCTCCAAAGACCTTCTTACAGAACCTTCTGCTGCTGCTGCTGGTCTGGAGGAGCAAACTAGAGAGAAACTCCAAATCCCTTAAGGTGGGAACTCACCTAAGGCAGTTGGCATCTGCCTGGTGCAGGATATTGGGGCAGGCACCTGGAGTCTCCTCTCTGATGGCTGGGCCCGGTGGGCACACTAGGGTCAGTGGAAGTATCCAGGAACCCGGGAAGCAGGAGGGGCTGTTAGGAGAGGCAGGTCTGACCCCGTATGGTACCACCACCTCCCCCACCCAGAGTGAAGATGGCACCTACACGGGCTTCATCAAAGTGCATCTGAAGCTCCGGCGGCCGGTGACGGTGCCTGCCGGAATCCGGCCCCAGTCCATCTACGATGCCATCAAGGATGTGAACCCCGCCAACACCACGGACAAGAGGACGTCCTTCTACCTGCCGCTCGATGCCATCAAGCAGCTGCACATCAGCAGCACCACCACGGTCAGCGAGGTCATCCAAGGGCTGCTCAAGAAGTTCATGGTCGTGGACAACCCCCAGAAGTTTGCACTTTTCAAGCGGGTCCATAAGGACGGGCAAGGTAGGAGGATGAGCACCCCAGCAGGATGCCTCCCCCATCCTGTGTGATCCCCTATAGCCCTGGATCTGAGAGGGATTTCTGGGCACCATGTCCAGCTCCAGAAAGGCGCCCCTCTGAGCAGAATCCTATGTGCATTCTAGGCAGATCTCATGCTTGCTCAACCCCCACCCTGACCCCCCACCCCCACCCCCAGTCCATCTGTGACTTCCCAGCCCAGGGCACAGCTCATCTTTGGGAAGATGGTGTGAATGGAAACAAGTTTAAAACTTCAAGTATCAGGGCCAGAGTGATAGTTCAGAGGGTAGGGCATTTGCCTTGCACCTGGATTCTATCCCCAGCATCCCATATGGTCCCCCAAGCACTAGCAGGAGTAATCCCTGAGCATCGCTGGGTGTGACCCCAAAACAAAACAAAACAAAACAAAAAAACTTTAAGTATCACCAGAGACAACATTTCTTGCTGTCAGTTCATCTCTGCTGTTAGAACCAACCCACCTCTGCCATCCCAGGGGGATACCACCCATCCGGCCCCTTCACTCTTTTCCAAGTGAGCTCGATTCCCCTCTCTTGGTTTGCAGTGCTCTTCCAGAAACTCTCCGTGGCTGACTGTCCCCTCTACCTGCGCTTACTTGCTGGGCCCAACACAGATGTCCTCAGCTTTGTGCTAAAGGAGAACGAGACTGGAGAGGTAGAGGTAGGTCCAGCCCAGCGGGCAGCAGGAACCCAGCCAGCAGGGTACCAGGGTGGGCGTGGGCAGGTAGAGGCCCCACTCTGGCAGGAATGTGCTGGAAGGGAGCCAAGCAGGTCAAGGTTCAGTGTTCTAACCAGGATTGGAACTACCAGGATTGGATAATGAGTCAGGGCTTGTGTCCAGGATAAAAAAGGATTTCATGTACTAGATTTCTGAAAATTCAGGGTGGAGAGGCAGCGTAAGTTGTCTTTGTTTCTGGATGGCCCGCAGCCGTTGAGGCCACACTGCAAGGCCACCAGTTGTCACTCAGGTCCTTCACAGATAGGCCTCCTCTCCCTGAGGGGAGCTCACATGGGAGATGCGGAAAAGCCAGGCTGCAGCTGCGGTGGTCTGGATGTCTCAGAGCAATGACCAGGTTTGGGGAGTGTCTCATGGTGATGATCGTCTAAGGTTGGATGAAGGTGGGGGTCACTCTGGGGAACGGAGGCAGACAAGACTCTCTCCCTTCCTCTTTTTTCTTTTTTTTTAACGTTTTTTTGGGCCATACCTGTCAGTGCTCAGGGGCTATTCCAGACTCTGTGCTCAGAAATTACTCCTGGCAGTGCTTAGAGGACCGTATAGGATGCCGGGAATTGAACCTTGGTTGGCTGTGTGCAAGGCACGCGCTCTTGCCACTGTGTGGTGGCTCCGGCCCAAGGCTGTCCCTTCTGACACGGTGCCCTCCACCTGCTTTACATAGTGCCAGGAGAGGGGGCTCCCAGCAAACAAACAAGGGGGGAAATGTATCCTATCCCCTCAAGATGTTTGAGCACTGCAGGTGCAGTGGAAGCTCAGGCACCTGGGATTTTAGATTTGGGTTCAGTTTGTGTTTTCTTGCCAAGAACCCGAGGGCTGTGGCGCTAGCCCTCCTCAGTGGACCTCTCCATGTTCTCAGGTGGGGCTTAAACCTGCTAAGCTCTGTACTCAGATAGTTTAGGAATAGAATCTCAATGGCCTCAGGGCAGCAATTTGGAATTCTTGCCTCCCCTTACTTGCGCTGTCAGGGGTGGGGTGCTGGGGTTTTTCCAGGTTCCTTAGCCAGTGAGAAAGCAGCTGATGGCTGCTCAGAGTCCGTGATGTACGCCAGGTCACGCAGCTTCTGAGTCACGCCCAGCCCTCCTTCATCTGAATCACACCAGGAGCCAGGAGAGCTCACCCCAAAGCAGAATGTTGGAGGAGGTCGGCAGGGACCCAGGGAGATTCCTACATCAGTGTTGAGATCTTGGTTGACACAGAGGAAATGTAAGATTATTGATTTTCAAATGAACAAATGAAGAACACAACCCAAACAACTGGCCTAAGGAACTGGACACTTGGCCTGGAGAGGCCAGGATTTAAAATTTTTGCTCCTGGCTAAGGGAATTCAGAGCCTTGAAACCAGTTTTGCAAGAAGCATTAAAAGAACTTCTCAAGGGGCTGGGGTGATAGCACAGCGGGTAGGGCGTTTGCCTTGCACATGGCTGACCCCTGTTCGATTCCCACATTCCATATGGTCCCCCAAGCACGGCCAGGAGTAATTCCTGAGTGCATGAACCAGGAGTAACCCCTGTGCATCGCTGGGTGTGACCCAAAAAAGAAAAAAAAATAACTTCTCAAAGGACAGGACAAGCTTCCAAACTTGTGGTCTTGAGTATGGTACTACTCACTGATGATTGCCCGCGGCTAACTTGCTGAGGGACTTTATACATTTTTTAATAATGACTTAGAGTCTTCATTCATATTGGTTAAAATCACATAGCAACCGTCCCAAATAGACTTTTATTGATTTATTTTATGACAATTCCATTTGCCATTCCCTTAAGTTTGGTTGGAGTAAGTCATATAAAATAAATTTGTTATGTGCCTGCCAAGAGAGCGAGCTGAGGAGTAGGAGGGAACCCGGGAACGTTGGTGGAGTGAAGGGACTATTGGTGGTGGGATTGGTGTTGAAATACTCTATGCCCGAAACAACTCTATTATGAATAACTGTATCAATCATGGTGTTCTAAGAAAAATTAAAAGAAAAAAAAACTTTGCTGCTAATAAGGTGGGCATGGCCCATGCTTTAGTCACTCACAGCAGATGTCGAAACTGTGAGAAAGGGTGCTGCACTCCATAACTTCTAACTGTCTCCTGTTCTCTTTCTCCCTCCTCCCCTCCTCCTGTGCAGTGGGACGCTTTCTCCATCCCTGAGCTCCAGAACTTCCTAACAATCCTGGAAAAAGAGGAGCAGGACAAAATTCAACAAGTGCAGAAAAAGTATGACAAGTTCAGGCAGAAACTAGAGGAGGCATTAAGGGGTTCCCAGGGCAAAGCTGGCTAACCGGTCCTGCTTCTTCCTCCCCCGGTGCCCTCAAATTTATTTTTATTCTGAATTATTATTTTGCAACAGACATTTCTTCTCAGGATGTCTCTGGCAGGGATGTCTGTCCCAGCCAATGTTTGCAGATGTGACCTGGTCTCTGGTGTGATGTGTGTGGGGTAAGGGCTTGAAGTGGCTGGGCTTAGAGCCCCTGGGAAGGCCTGGGCGCCTCCCATCATCTGTGGGCCTCTACAGACAGAACACTTGCTTCTCCATCAACAAAGTGGATCTCTTCCTACCAGCTGGCAAAGGAAAAAGAAATGGTTTTAGAATTCTGTGTTCTCACACGGGATTGCTCCCTTTCTACTTCTCTTCTTTGCCACCCACCGTACCTTTATTTATGAGATGAAAGTTGCACCGTGTCCCTTGAGCAGGTCTGAGCTAAGCCCTTGAATGCAGGATTATGCTCATGACAAGGACTATCCTTCAATGTCCCAAGGGACCATTGTTCCTGCTTATGGGAGGGTCATAAAGCCACCGGCCCAGGTGCCAAATGAGACCAAAGCTGCCATTGGCTCCGAGATTCCGCTAACACTGCAGTTTGCCCTGGCTCCAGCACCCGGGAGTTTGTGCATATGATAAACCCAAAGGCATATATCTGCGGACATGTGGCACAAAGCCAAATCTTGTCAACAATTGCTTGAAGTTGCAAGTTAACTTTGCCATCATTTTCATGTGTTTCCACCAAAGGGAAACCCGCCATTTGTGATGTTTAAAGTCTCCTGATGAGTATGGAAATCCAACAGTTGGAGAAAGCCAAAGAGCTCTGCTGAGAAGCAAGGGCACACTTGTGCCCATCCTCCCCCCCCCCAGCAGAGCACGAGAGAGCCTGACGGCCACTATTTTCCTCTTGGTCATTCTCTCCTCCCAGTGGGACGCTAGAGTCTCTGCCAGAAGCTTGGTCACACGGGGGCAGCCTCCCATTCGGCCAGCTTGAAAACTGCTGTTCAGAAGCACCGGCCAGACCCTGGCACTGCATCTGATGAGCCTGTGGACCCGGCCTCCCTGCTGACCTCAGTGCCTTTTTGTTTTCTCAAAGACACGGGAGCAGGGTGTCAGCTTGAAGCTCTGCTCCTGATTTGCTTCTGTTGTACAGGAGACAAGACTAAGGGAATCCTGTGGTGTGAGGGTCACGGATCTCTTCCCAACCAAAGTCTTGGGCTCCCGGGAAAGTGCTGTCAAACTGAAATCTGACTCTCCAGCTCTTTGTTTATGCTCCAACTTGGAAATAAAGTTGAGTTGTTATTCAACAGTTCATGCAAGTAGCCAGCCTGCAGACACTCCAGTACAGAAGGAGGACAGTGAACTTGAATCCAGTCTCTGAGAGACCGTTTCTTTGCTGTCCTCTGCCTTTGCAAGTCCCGCTTGGGTTGGTTCCAACCCAGTCTTTGTTGTGTAGCCTCAGAAGTTTCCTCCCTGATGCTTGCTGAATCTACACCACCCCTGGCCCCAGAGGGTGTGTGCTGACCCCTCAGGCTCCAAACTGTGTGGTTCTCCAAGCTGCCCAGGCTGGGCAAATCTTTATGAGATTTGTGAGCCACAGAATTCCCCTGGTTCTCTGCCATCTCAGGCTCAGTCTCATGGCTTCCCTCGCTCAAAAAAAAAAAAAAAATGTTTTTTAAAAGCCTCTTCCTGCTGTGTATGAAATGGCCTGGGAGAGAGAACCCGTTCCTGTTCCTGCTGCATGCTCAAATGTGAACAGAAGCATGGCTCCTGCTGTGAATGCTGCTCAGAGCCCCCCCGCTGTCGGGAGGCTATAGTATTTTTGAGAAGGACAAAAAGGAAAAAAAAGTCATGTACATATCATATATACATAAGGCAAATTGTTATATATATATATATAAAGAGAAGGTGTTTATGAAATAACAAAATTATGGGGGGAGGGAGTATTTGAAGCACAGGTGGGTCTAGGTCAGGCTGGACTGTGTCTCAAGCCTCCCTTCTCCTGCAGTGGTGTGACGCTGGCAGTGCCTTCTATCACTGTGTCCCCAATATGTCTGTGTTGTTTGGAGAATATTTTTTTTCTAAATGTCTTTAGTATATTGTTTTGGGGGGAATAAAGTAATAAAAGCTTGTGAAAAATGCTTCAGACTGGAGACGTTCCTTGAACTTCCGCCACTTTATGAAGTGGCTGGAGAGAGGGAGGGTCCGGATGAGCACACGTTCCTGACGGGAGCAGCTTCTGGCAAGCAGAAGGATGGAGGCTGAAGTCAATTAGTAGCCTGACCTGATGGCTGCTACCTAGTAACTGGCTATTTTGCTTCTCCCTAAAGCCAAGGAGGAAAGAGCATAGGGGACACTGAGGCAGAAAAGAGAAAGAACATGCTGGAGTCCATAATGCCAAACCAGCATCACTGAATACTGAGGAAATCAGACTCTTCTACTTCCAGAATTAGTAAAAATGTAGGGACATACCTTAAGAAGCCAGGAATGTACCTTTGAAAGGGTAAAATCACCTTCCCTGAAGGTAACCAGAATGGCTAGCTGACCAGAATGGCCCCTGTTAGCATCATCTAACTTCCATCAAAGGCACGTCTCATTTAATCTTTTCTTTTTAAAAAAAAAAAAAAAGCTCTTTCGGGGCTGGAGCAATAGCACAGCGGGTAGGGCGTTTGCCTTGCACGCAGCCAACATGGCCAACACAGGTTCGATTCCCAGCATCCCATAGGGTCCCCCGAGCTCCGCCAGGAGCAATTCCTGAGTGCATGAGCCAGGAGTAACCCCTGAGCATCGCTGGGTGTGACCCAAAAAGCAAAAAAAAAAAAAAAAGCTCTTTCGCTCTTTCCTGCCTGCCTCCTAGGACTGGTCACCATCATACAATGAGCAGGGCTCTTGGGTTTGCACGGTTATTCAGAGCTCATCCTGTCCTTTCCATAACTCCCCGCAGGAGAGAATACTTAATCCAACAGATGTTCTTAAAGGGATGTAAGAATGGGGCATGTCTGTCACATCCATTCCCTGCTGGGGTCTTTACAAGAGCCAGGAATAGCCTCTGAGCACTGCTGGGTGTGGCCCAACCTCCCCACCTCACAATGTTCATGGTTGTAAATTGGATCAATTTCCTCCCAGGATGGGAGAAGCATGCTGAAAGTAGACTATCAACCAAACATGATTGCCACTCAAAGCCTCTTTTGCAAACCACAGCACTCAAAAGGAGAGAGAGGGAAATTCCCTGCCACAGAGGCAGGGTGGGATGGGGGCTGGGGGATGGGAGGGATACTGGGATCCGTGGTGGTGGGAAATGCGCACTGGTGGAGGGATGGGTGTTTGATCATTATATAATTGAAACCCAAGCACAAAAATGTGTAAGTCTGGAAAAAAATAAAATAAAATGTTTTTAAAAAAAAAAAGAAAGAAAAAAAATTGCCCTTAAATTAAAAAAAAAAAAAGTTGTAAAAAAAAGCTCTCCAGCACGGCCACAGCCCCAGAAGCACAAGGGCTTAATGCAGAACCCAGCAGCTTGGAGCAGAAAAGTGAAAGGACTATGCGTTAATCCAGGCAATCATTTCTGCCCAGAGGGGAAAGGGTGTTGCTCCCTTCCGCCCTCCTCCCTCTGGAAAGAAAGATGGCGGCCACATGGGGGCCTTGTGGACAGCAGGTATGAGCCGGGGGTGTGGGGGCGACAAAAACCTCATGGGAAGGGGGGCGTTCCGGTCCGTCCTTCACGCCCTACCGAGGTCACCAGTCACCCCCCACGAGCGGCTCTCCAGCACAGCCACGGCCCCAGAAGCACAAGGACTTAATGCAGAGCCCAGCAGCTTGGAGCAGAAAAGTGAACGGACTATGCATTGACCCAGGCCATCAAGTCTGCCGGAGGGGAAAGGGTGTTGCCCCATTCGCCCTCTCCTCTCTGGAAAGAAAGATGGCGGCCACATGGGAGCCTTGTGGACAGCAGGTATGAGCCGGGGGTGTGGGGGCGACTAAAACCTCATGGGAAGGGGGGCGTTCCGGTCCGTCCTTCACGCCCTACCGAGGTCACCAGTTGCCCCCCACGAGCGGCTCTCCAGCACGGCCACAGCCCCAGAAGCACAAGGACTTAATGCAGAACCCAGCAGCTTGGAGCAGAAAAGTGAAAGGACTATGCGTTAATCCAGGCAATCATTTCTGCCCAGAGGGGAAAGGGTGTTGCTCCCTTCCGCCCTCCTCCCTCTGGAAAGAAAGATGGCGGCCACATGGGAGCCTTGTGGACAGCAGGTATGAGCCGGGGGTGTGGGGGCGACAAAAACCTCATGGGAAGGGGGGCGTTTCGCTCCGCCCTTCATGCCCTACCGAGGCCACCAGTTGCCCCCCACGAGCGGCTCTCCAGCACGGCCACGACTCCAGAACACAGAAACCAATTTCTTAACTATCTGACTTTCAGTAGAAATACTTCCAGGGTCAATAGGTAAAAGAGCAGAAATCCAAAACCAACATTTAATTCTTGAACCCAGCTGGAGAAAGCAAATCACTTCACAATGCTTTTTCAGCATGTCTGATTGGGGGGGGGGGTAAACTCTAAATAATAGTGGTGAATCTTTTATTGAAACAATCTAATCAAAGCGGATAGAGTGTTAACTAGAATTCATCTGCCTCACAGGGACGGGGAGGGGTGGGGGGTGGGGTTTTATTGGGGTTCTTCATGGGAAAAAATAAGTATTGGTAAAGGGAAATGTGTTTGATATTTGCATGACTGAGACATAAACCTGAAAGCTTTGTAACCTTTCCCACAGTGATTCAATAAATAAAAAAAAAAAAAAAAAAAAAAAAAGAAAGAAAAAAAATTGCCCTTAAATTAAAAAAAAAAAAAGTTGTAAATTGGACCGGGGTTTGACTGTTTGCCTTAGCACAGTTCAAAAAACCAACACATGGTCAAACTCCCCTGCCCTCTAACATGTACCCATCCATGGTGTTTACAAAGGAGAAAGGGAAGGTGACCTGATGCAAATGTGGCAGCATTGTATCCTTAAAAAGTTCTGGGTTATCTTTTGCAAACCACAACACCCAATAAGAGAGAACAAAAGGGAATGCCCTGCCATAGAGGCAGGGTGGGATGGGGGTGATGGGGAGTGGGAGGGATACTGGGATCCATGGTGGTGGGAAATGGGCACTGGTGAAGGGATGGGCATTTGATCATTGTATAATTGAAACCCAAGCACAAAAATTTGTAAGTCTACAACTGTACCTCATATGTCTCACTAATAAAAATAAATAAATAGATAAATAAATAAAAGTTCTGGGTAGACTAGGTAATAGGAGCTGTTCTTTTTTTTTTCAGATTAAATACCTAGGTATAATTTTTAAATTTACTTTCATTTTTTTAAATTTTTATTAGTGAAACACCATGAAGTACGGTTGTAGACTTACAAATTTTGTGCTTGGGTTTCAGTTATACAATGATCGAGTACCCATCCCTCCACCAGTGCCCATTCCCCACTTCCAATGCTCCCACTATCCCTCCCACCCCTGTTCATTTTATTTTTATCAACTGCATATTGTAGAGAAATAGATACAGACCTATGAAAACTTTCCTGATACAATCAAATTAGAAAGGGCAGCGCAATAGAGGCTGGAGCAATAGTACAGCAGGTAGGGTATTTGCTTTGCATGGGTCCAGGTCTGCCGAGTGCAAGGCAAACGCCCTACCTGTCTATAGCTCCAGCCCAACCACCATATTTTATTATTGCTATATATGCCATATACCTCAGATGAAACTCTAGCTATCCAAAAGTTTTGGTATATTAGAATCTGGGCTCAATATCTAAAAATCCTTTTTCAGTTTTTTATGCTCATGAGGGCCAAGAGGATTAGTAAAATTAACTGCAACTTGTGTTAATTAGACCACATTCATCTGTGAACTCCCACAGGTACATGTCAGCATTAGTGAGTTGAGTTTTTCTTACAGTGAGTTAAATATGTGTAATGGTCAATTCTGGGCTAATAAAAGGTTGGTTGCATCTCACACACATTTTCATATTCATCTCCTTTTTTCTTTCCAAGATCCAGGTGATACAAATAATACAAAAAATATATATACAAATTTGTGAATATTGTAGGTATTTTCAAATATTTGTTTAAGAAAATAAAAAATAAAAAGCAAACTAGAATAATCATTTTTTGTTGTAAAATAAGCAATTGGGTTCATTCCTTATTATAAAGACAACCTTTGGTCTCAGAAGTAACTTCCACATATTCACAGGGACCAGAGCAGTGGTTCTCAGTCTCTTGGGTATCAATTGAGCAATGCCTTTGGGAATTTGACAAATAGATAGCAAGTCTTTTAGAAAGATGATCATACAAAACTTGAGCATCCTCTTGGGTGCAGTTTATACCCCCTGAAGACAAGTGAAGACCCCTGAGCTGCAGGTTGAGAAGCTCAGAGCTACAGAAGGCATTAATTGGAGACTTTTCACTGTGACAAAGCCAACAGTGTTCCAGCTCATCAGCTCAGCAGTTTGCCACTCTTGGTGGCAGTGTATCAATACTGTGGAATAATTGTTGTCATGCAGAATCCCCAGTGAAATGTGTTCAGTCCTGTCCAGGCCAAAATCTGCTGCAATTTAGGGCGGATTCTTTCCTCTGTTATCTTGATGATAGAGAACAGCTGGGTTCTGCTTTCTAGCCGAATAATTCTTTAGAAATATGACAGAAATATTTGGGGATGGGGGGAAGGTTAATTAGACAGTAGGAACACATAAATTAAAAGCTGTGGAATATTTGGTACAGGGACTTGCATGCTTCCAAGCCCAGCTGGATCCCAGGCACCACATATGATGCCCCAAGCACTGCCAGGAGTGATCTCTGAGCAGAGCTGGCAGTTCTCTGTCCTGAGAACTGTGGGGTATGCACCCAATCCCCCACCAAGAAAATAAAAAAAGACCCTCCCCCCCCCCACTTAACAGACTTTGGATCGACTATTTAAAATCAGGTAAGGGGGGCTGGAGCAATAGCACAGCGGATAGGGCGTTTGCCTTCCACACAGCCAAACCGGTTTCGATTCCCAGCACCCCATATGGTTCCCTGAGCACCACCAGGGGTAATTCCTGAGTGCAGAGCCAGGAGTAACCCCTGTGCATCACCAGGTGTGACCCAAAAAGCCAAATAAATAAATAAAATAAATAAATAAAATCAGGGAAGGGGTGGGAGCATGGGGGAGCAGAGAAATAGTACAGGGTTCAGGTGTTTACCTTGTACATGTGCCCAACCTTGGTTTGATCCCTGGCACCTAAGCACTGTTGGGGTCAACCTGAGCACAAGGCCAGGAGTAAGTCCTGAGGTATAATCCCTAAAACAAACAATAATAAAACCAGGGGGAATTAACTCGTTGAAGCTACCAGTCTCTTCCTTTGATTGAAAAAAATACTTATGACAAGAAGACCAGGAATGTGCCTCAGTGGTAGAACACATGCCTTCCATGTTTGAGGTCCTGGGGTTTGATCCCCAACATTTCTCTTTCTCCCCCAAAAAAAGACATAAAATGCTGCAGACTTTAAAATAGCTAAGTGGAGAAAACAAGAGGGAAGTCCAAGTTAGATGAGAATAAAAATTTATTCTGGTAAAGAATTATATTTTTTATTTCTAAAATCTCTCACAAGATCCCCAGATGGCGCTTAGCTTTCACAGGGTCCACTACGTGTTTCACTTCTTCCTGCCAGGTTTGGGGGCCTTTTCCAGGCCTTCAATGTGTTTTCGAGGGAGCCGATATTCTTCTAGAATCCAAAAAGCAAAACATTCAGTGGGGATGCAGTTCTCTTGTCCACTTACCCTACTTCCCTTCTGTCTGACAATGTCATTCCTTTGGCCTCCTGGGTCCTGAGTCACACACCTGGGATTCCCACCCCTCTCGGTCCCCATCATACTCAGACTTCTATCTCACAGTTCTCATTCCGGCTCTCAGACCTCTGGTCAAACGGTTTCCATCATGTGATTGGCTCAGACTCCACCGCTCCTTCTCCACAAAGCTAAGTCTGTGCGTTGTTTTCCCCTGAGAGCTACTTTGACCAGGCTTGGGCACTGACAATTTTCTGCTGAGGATGTGTGTATCTGTGTTCAGTCACGTGTTTGTCTTCGTGTCTTCATGTGGGGTTCTTGGTTTAATGGGCCTCAACTCAACAGATTAACTGTGTTGGGCCATGAAATAAATTTGCTTACTGAACATTTGCTCTATGTTAGGCCTTGGGGATGAAAGGATAATAAACAAGGAAAGGTCTTTGCTCAAGGTCTCTGTCTAGCTGAATGTTCCAAAAGATGAGCCAAGCTGCAGAAACTGTAAGTAGCCAACCCAACTGGAAAGAGCTATAGTAGCATTTTAAAAAATATGAATTTAACAAGGAAGCTCAGAAAAAAAAAATAGGATGTGGCCTATGACAGGCTTCCTGTGACCCCCTGAGCGAGCCTTTAAGGTCAGGCAGACGAAAGTTGTGGGGGGTAGCCTTGGGGAGGGAAGAGAACAAGCCAAAGCATCCTTGTTTGTGGGTGTGTGGTCTATTGGTGAACAGCAAGCTGACTGCACGGGAGGCCTGCAGGTCTGATTTATGGAATTAGTTTTGAAGTTCAGAGCCCAGCTGCACGTCAGCAGCTAAACACCTCAGGGCAAGGTACGGAGCCTCCCTGAACCTGTTTCCTCGGCTGTGAAACAGAAAGAGCTCATCGAGGGATCAGAAAAGTCTAGCAAAGGAACTAGCACAGTCTGGGTGCTCCACAAATGTTCTCTAAATGGATGGCAGAGAGAGCAAAGAATCTGGGAGCCCACAGAGATGGTTCAAACAGTACATGCTAGCTGCTAAAATTTCATGTCTAAACACGTTTGTAAATATCTATGCACACACACACATCAATATCTAGAGGGAGCTGGTCAGTGGAAGGATTTTTTTCAACACAGAGACCAGGGTCTCTGCTGCTTTAGAGGGATGCTCACCAAGCAACAACCGGCCGAGGTGGTGAATCTGGTTTCCCTGGATCTGCACTTGCAGGCTATCCTTGGCGCCAGGGTTAGGAGCAACAGTGGTGCTAGCCTGGCATCGCTGCTGGAGGACGGCAGCCACTGAGCACGGGTCCAGACCATATGCCTCCAAGTTCCGGACCACGGTCACCTGGGAGAACAGAAAGCTGAGTTGATGCAGACCGGATGCTGGCCCCTTCAGAGGGCTTTCCTAGCCTAGCCTTACAACCCCTGTGAGCACCACATCTCTTCATTCAAGTGACTTATTCTTGTGCCTATATATTCTTTCTACCTATCCAACACATTGTTTTCTATTTAGTGTCCCACATACAGACTTTTTAAAACATACTTTTTATAGTAGAGAATTTAAACATAAATAAAGTGAGGTCCCAAGTGCTCATAGCCAATGTAAACTATTTGCAACTCAGGGTTCCCCTTGATTACTTGCTACCTCATCCTCCCCTTCGTGCCCATATTTGAAGTCAATCCTCCTAGATATGAGAACATTTCATCTATAAATAATTCATTATAAAACTCAAAAAGATAAAAACTCTTTTTTAACAAAAAGCAAAACTACCATCACTCCTACAAAAAGATCAGTAATTCCCTAAAAACAAATATCTAGTTGTAACACATGTACTTGTCCTTTATTCATCCATTTCACAAATGGAAAATATGGAACCTGAGATTAAAAAAAAAAAAGGAAAACATAATCATTTTTTAAAAATAAGTCTCCCCTTGGCTCTTTAAAACCTTAGGACTGTCAAGGGACTGAAACCCCAGAGAAAATTAGAATCAGTAAAACATCAGAGGACCCGAGAGCTCACCTAAAGGGTTGGAGTACATGTGGATCCCTGAATCTGATCTCTGATCTCCAATGCATGATCCCCTGGTACCGCTAGGAATGGTGAGTTGGTACCAGTAAATGTTACCCAAAAGCTCAAATAAATAATAAGTAAAACATCAGAGATAGATACCCCCTACATGGTTAACACTACATCTCGACACGACATCATCCCCTTATTAGATCACCTGATCTTTGCAGACCTGCAGAAAATAACTATTTCAGGAAGCAACAATTCCAATTTTAGAAGATGCTGTTATTAGTTTTAAAAATCAATATTAAAATAAGCTGTTTTAGAACTTGTTTAGTACAGAGTCTGGCACATAATTATACATTAATGGCTATGGCTAATTATTAAGGTTTATTTTGGTTCTTAATAATGAATAGGCCATGTACTATTCTAAGTGTTTGACCCATATATATCTCTTCACTTGATCTCCACAGTGTAGAAAAAGTAGGAAGTAGCCTCACTTTTCACATAAGGAAACTCAGGTGAAAAAGACAGTAACTTGAGCAGTGAGACAATAGCTACAACTGAACCCAGGTCTCAAACTCCAAGTCCATGTTCAAAACCACATAGTATTACAAAGTATTTCAACTCATTTGTCTGCTTCCTCTCCATAATCTTACTTGTCATCTCAAGACCTACTAATTACTTCACTTTCATAGGCTAGAGGACAGATGTGGTTTGTCATCTCTAGCTTTGTGTGAGCAAGCTAAAAACTCAGTTCCTTCAGCAATTTTTTGCCAGTTATTTTCACTGAGCAAAAGTAAAAGCTGAAGTCCCATAACATAGTTTTAAGAAAATCAAAACCAGGCTCCAGTACATTTCCTAGCACAAAATGCAAAGGACACTCAGTGAGGGGTTAGTTTTACTGATACTACCAGAAGACCACTCAAACCTGGGTATCCCATTAAAAAAACCCTGAGGTTCTGACTCACAATAAATCCTGGAAGAGAGCAACATGCTGCTGAGATGCCAATGGACCCCACACCAGCCTGTCTCATCTGGGGCAACCTGAAACGGGTGCAGTTGAGTCCTACTACCTGCCCCAAAAGGGCCCTGGCAGCCAAAAACCTCCAGAACTCAATCACCGCCATGCTCACAGTCTATCTCCACAGGCTCAGACGAGCCCCATCCATGAGTGAATCTACTGAAAAAACCAGGCTTGCACGGAGTCAAGAATGAGTGACCTTCTCCCATCTCCTTGGCAGTCACACCAAAGGAACTGCCTCTGGCGCCATATAAGCCCATTAACGGCCATGATTCACAGGCTCACAAATAAACCTTGGAAGAGAGCAACATGCTGCAGAGATGTCTCTGGACTCCAAAGTCACCATCCAGTTAAAGGTTTAATTCTTGCTGTATTACCCTATTTAAAATCTTAGAAGGGGCTGGAGCGATTATAGCACAGCGGGTAGGGTGCTTGCATGCGCCCGACCCGGGTTTGATTCCCAGCATCCCATATGGTCCCCTGAGCACCACCAGGGGTGACTCCTGGGTGCAGAGCCACGAGTAACCACTGTGCGTTGCTGGGTGTGACCCAAAAAGGAAAAAAAAAGAAAAAAATAAAGAAAATCTTAGAATTCCTGGAGTATGGACATCTCATACTCTATATAAGAGCTTAATGGCTCCAGGGTGATACAACAATCTTCACACACTTTCCTCTAAGGAAACATTTTTGGATCATTTTAGCATATATTCATAACAAGCAATAAAAATAAACTATTTAGACTGGTTAAAGAAACTTTGGTACATTTACACAATGGAGTACTATGTAGCTGTTAGAAAAGACGAAGTCACGAAATTTACATACAAGTGGTACTACATGGCAAGTATCATGTTAAGCTGAAATGACTAAGAAAGGGATAGACACAGAAAGACTGCATTCATCTGGGGAACATACAGTAACAAAATAGGAGACTAACACTTAAGAATGGCCGAGATTAGTACCAGGAATTTTACTCCATGGCTTGGAGGCCAGCCACACATGCTAGGGGAAAAGGGAGCTCAGATAGAGAAGGGAGCACCAAATAGAGTGTTGGGAGGATCCTCCCAGGATGGAGATGCATGTTGAAAGTAGACTATGGACCGAACATGATTGCCACTCAATGCCTCTTTTGCAAACCACAACACCCAATAGGAGAGAACAAAAGGGAATGCCCTGCCACAGAGGCAGGGTGGGATAGGGGGGATGGGGGGTGGGAGGGATACTGGGATCCGTGGTGGTGGGAAATGGGCACTGGTGGAGCGATGGGTATTTGATCATTGTATAATTGAAACCCAAGCACAAAAATTTGTACGTCTACAACTGTACCTCATGGTGTCTCACTAATAAAAATTTAAAAAAAAATAAAATAAACTATTTAGGTTATGCTTATGGGGCAGAATTTGGGGATCAGAGTGGAATAAATGGAAATATGGTGGTGGGAAGGTGTAGTGGTGGTGGGACTGGTGCTGGAATATTGAATGTAATCAATTACCATGAACAATTTTATAAAAATCAAATTAAATTTTAAAAAAATGGGCTGGAGCAATAGTACAACAGGTAGGTCATTTGCCTTGCATGAAGCCGACCCAGGTTTGATCCCTGGCATCCCATGTGGTGCCCCAAGCACCACCAGGAGTAATTCCTGAGCACAGAGCCAGGAGTAACCCCTGAGCATCACTGGGTGTGACCCAAAAAGCAAAAAAAAAAAAAAAAAAAACCACCTTAGGTCCTTGAGGCCAAACTACACCCCTCCCCTTAGCAGAAACATAAAGCACTGCCTTTTTAATATCACCTTTTTGTTACAAGCCCTCTGTACCAGGGAGATGTCAATTGGGCAAATATTCCCCTTCTTCACAATGGGCTCTTGTCCAGGAAAAGTCACTTGATAGGCAGGCTGCAGTTTTTCGAAACACCTGAAACAGTAGTTAATGAGTAACAGGTTGAGAGCTAACAGACACCATTGCCTCACACCCAGTAGCTCTCAGGAGTTGGGGATGGATGGAGGTGTCTTTGCAAGGAGTGGCAGGCTGGCTGCACAGGAGACTCATTCATCACCTCGGGAACTGTATCCTAGACCAACTGACTCAGAATTTCTGAATTTAGAAGTTCCCCAAGGAGCAGCCCACGCGGACGCCCACCTAATCAGGGAAAGGAGTGTCTGTGATTCCATACCTATCTCGGATCTGCCTTCAGACCATGGCCCTGGGCTGCCCTGGGAGCATAATGCTCAGCCAGGACCCTTCCCCGAGCCTGGGAATGCTCTTTCATCTTCCCACATGTCCCAGTAATGCAGCTTTTACAGACCACCACCCTTGCATCTAGTCACCTTTATATACATATATATATATATATATATATATATATATATATATATCAGGACCGACTTTTTCTCTTACACGGCCAGTCGGTAACTCTTTCAGGTTGGAACTACTCATTTCTGCCATAGCAGCTCAAGTAGCTCAGCACAAAATATGCATGCGGGTGGGCTGGGGGCCAGAGAGATGGTACAGTGGGTAAGGTGCTCGCTTCGCACATGGCTGACCCAGAGCACCTCCACTGATCCCTGAGCACAGAGCCAGGAGTAAGTCCTGGGTACCCCTGGGTATGACCCCAAAACCAAACAGGGTGGGCTGCATTCCAATAAAACCTATCCACACAAAGAGGCAGCAGATCTGGTCCAGTTTGCTAATTCCTAATATATATTCTTTTTAGCTTTATTTCTGTTGGAATTTCTTTCCCCCATGCCTTCTTTCACTTCTAAATCTTTTTGAAGTTCTTATTTTCAATTTAATATTCCTTTTCTTTTTCCATCTAAAGTTTTCCTGCATTATGTTGGCTCAAATTATTAGAACTACCTAACTCTGTATTTATGTTAACTGACCAGGTGTGAATCATAGAACAAGTCAGAGAGAAAACATGGTAAATGTAAACTTGGACACGATACAATCAGGGTGCACCTAGTTTGGACCCCTGGAACCACATGACCCCCCAAGCACTGCTGGGACAGGCCCTGGCACTACGCCAAATCCTGGGGCTCTTGTACTGAACTACTGGCCCGGTGGGCTAAGTATTGCTAGCAATGGCTCTTGAACCCCAAGCACTGCTCCGGAGACAACCTCCACACCCTTGCCCCACCCACCCACAACACTCAAACAAAAGTACCACATTATAGATAGATATCAACCAGAGGGGAGAGAGCACTGAAGAGGGACAGCCAGAATTACCTAGTCAGGAGACCATCCCAGGGAAGTTTCATGACTTGGTGCTGTTCACTTTTTTCTAAGAGGCAGTCACACAGGATAGGATCCAATTTCACAAGACTAGAGGGAAAGAAGAGTAGTAAAGAAATCCCTGCCCGCTTGCTCTTCTAGCCCGTGTTCTCCCTTGAATGTGTAACTCACTTATCTCGATGCTTGCCTATTTTTACTCTAGAGAAGCCTGTGTTCTCTCTCAAATATGGACTTCTCTCTACCCTCACATCTTGTAAATAAATAAGTTTTAATAAAACTTTTGTACTTCACCAAAAAAAAAAAATAGGACAAGAAATCCCTGCCATTAATGACCCAAAGGTCGGGGCTGGAGGGATAGTACAGTGGATAGGGCGTTTGCCTTGCATGCAGCCGACCCGCATTCGGTTCCCAGCATTTCCTATGGTACCCTGAGCACCACCAGGAGTGATTCCTGAGTGCATGAGCCAGGAGTAACCCCCGTGGATCGCCGGGTGTGACCCAAAAAGTAATGACCTAAACGTCAATTTAGGATCCCTCTCTGATGTGGCCTCCAGGTCATCAGGATTATGATGAGAACACAGTGCATGAGGCAGGGAGGAGGTTAAGTACACCTTCCCAGAGCCAGATTCTAGAGAAAAGGCAGAGGGGAAAGGGGGGCTGGGGGATGTCATCCAAAGACCAAGAGTCTTGGTTCAGCTCAGCTACTATGACAATTAGGTTCTTCATGGGCTGTTTTTTGGAAGTTAAAAGCAAATTAAATAAGATAAAAATAAATAAAAGTGATGAAATGTCTTTCATTTTATTCAGAAAATACAGACTAGTACCAAAAAAATTGTATGACTTTAGTGAAACATCTGCATTTGAAAATCAGTAATGGGTATGTTAGAGATCTTTGCTCAGTCAACTATCAGTGTTGATAACGCATCCAACTACCTGATTGCCCTAGAAGGTAGCTCCAGGCAGTCGCCCTCATGACTGGAAAATACTTGTCTTGGGGCTGGAGCAATAGCACAGAGGGTACGGCATTTCCCTTGCACACAGCCGACCCGGGTTCGATTCTCAGCATCCCATATGGTCCCCTGAGCACTGCCAGGAGTAATTCCTGAGTACATAGCCAGGAGTAACCCCTGAGCATTGCCAGGTGTGACCCAAAAAGAAAAAGAAAAAGAAAAAAAAAAGAAAGAAAATACTCGTCTTGGTCATTTCTAAAAGGCTTTGGTCTTTTCACTCTCCTCCATCACAGACTTTAACAATTTTTTCTAAGACTGCTAAAAAGAAAAACTTCACAAGACACAGACCCCATGCCTAAGCTTCCATTCACGCACTTTTTCCTCCCAAATTTTATTTTATTAAAGCACTACGAGCTACAAAGTTACTCATAGTTGGTTTGTGCACGGCAAAAGAAACACAGACTAAAACTAAAAGACAAGTTAACTGAATGGGAGAAAATATTTGCAGTTAACATATCAGATAAAGGACTGATATCCAGGATATATGAAGTATTCACAAAGATCAGCAACAAAAATATCTAAAAACCCTGACAAAAATTGGCAAGAAGGGACTTCTCTGAGGAAGACCAACAGATGGCCAACAGGCACATGAAAAAATGCTCATCATCACTTACTATTAAGTAAATTCGAATCAAGACAACAATGAGATACCATGTCACACCAGTGAGAATGGCACATATCAAAAATAACGGGAACAATAAACAAATGAGACTACATCAAATTAAAGAGTCACTCACTTTTTGTTATCTGCATCCACCAGGTCATTTTTCTTGGCATAGTCAATGATGACTGATCGGACCTCACTGCCCTCAAGCGTGCTCCCCTTCCTATGAGGAGAAGTGATGGTTCATGTAGGGCTGGAGAAAACTCCAAATACAGAGACTCATGCCCTGCTCTGCAAGGCACCTTTTCCTCCTCCTTCTTCCTTTTTCCTGCAAGCAAGGACTGCAAGGACTGTGTGGAGAGTAATTACAGGTAGAAAAGACCTACTCTCTTGCTCAGAGTCCAGAGACATGTCCCGGGGGAAGAAGGCTTAAAGAGGGTCCAGGAGAAAAGGAGGCCAGAGTAGAACACGTTTGCCCGTCACAGAACACTAGTCAGATTAAGAACTACAGGCCAGAATACCAAGCAGGCAAAGAGGGGCTCTGCGCTCCAAAAACTCACTTGTGACCAGACTCCTGGAAGAGCAGGGTCATGCTGGCTGGGACACAGTAGAGGGATTTTATATCTGGAGGGTGATAGGGCTGTTCCCTGCTACCCTCCTGGATAGTCTGGGAGGTCGGGGAGGGCTCAGGTATGACGAAAGATGTAATCCTAAAACCCAGCAGAAGGAAAGAAAAAACACATTTCATACTCGTGTCTCAGAAACTCCCAGGATGTGGCCCAGGTCTTGTGGGGCCCGCTAGCTCCAGCGAGCAGGCCCCCCTGCACTCACCTCGGGTGTTTCCAGTCCACAGCCACAATGCTCTCCACCCCTTTGCTCAGCTCCTTCACCTGTAAAATCTGCTCCTGCTGCATTTGCTGCAGGAACTTAGAGAGCTAAGGGAGAGAGGGCAGTGGTAGGGGACTTCATCAATTCCACGCACATACCAAGCACACTCCATGTGCCGGACACTGGGCTAGGCAGGTCCTGGGGAGGGATGTGTAACAGTCCTTGCCCTCATTCAACTCTGAGACCACTCGAGGCCCTACCTGAGAAGAGGGAGGACACTGGACACTAAGTGGTAGAGTCTGGCAAAGCGAGGATCAAACAGAAGGGGGTTGATAGGAGAGAGGGGAATGGGGGCCCACCCAACTGTCTCTCCTGGGGGAGTTTATCTTTCCCCCACCTTATCCCTGGGGGATATCAAAGATCAGAAAGCTTCATTCCAGCCCTGGAAACAAGGCTGCGTCCATGTCCGTCCAGCCCAGGTGCTGAGTGCCCTGCATATCGGGCTGGCTGTGCAGAGAAGGTACCGCTTACCTTTTTGTAACTTGACTTCTTTATGTCCAGCTGTTGTCCTTCGGGGCTGATGGCAGATGGAAAAGGCAAGTTAAACCAACAGGGCAGTAGTGGTAGCACCCGCCTGGCTCTGAGGAGGGCAGCTTCCCCAGGCCTCCTGCCCTGTGGTCAAAGAGGCAGTCGCTGTGAGACTAGCTGGCAGCATCTAACAGATGCTTCAGTAAAGACGAAGGTTCTCTTGTCATTACTGCAGCTGCTAGCCAAATGTGGCTCGTAAGCATGTGAAATATGAGGACTGGGACTGAGGAATGGAGTGGTACACTTTCCTTCATTTCCATTTATTTAAATTTAAGTAGCAACATGTGGCTAGCAACGACCGCCGTAGAGAGAACTTTAGAATCCACTCGAAGGAGACAACCTTCTATGGTCTCAAAAGTTTACGCCTGGTGAACCTTTCTGACACCAAAGTCTCCGTGGTGGCTGGGGCTAGAGCAGGACCACAAACTCGCCTGCACAGTCGCATCTGTGGTCTCCAGTGGACTTGGCGTCTCAGTGTCAGAGCCAAGGAGGTGCAATGGAGATTATCTAACCTGCAAAACCTACAGTATTTCAATATTTACTCTCGAAAAGTTGCTACTCTTTACCCTAGAGCTATCATATTCCTGGGGAGGCTCCTAAAGAGAGCAGTATTATTTCTTTCCTTTCTCCAGAAGTTACACCTGCTTTTCAAATTGTGACAAAGAATGGCAATGGGATGCACAGAGAACCCTCCTAGAACTCTCCCTAAGCTAAGAAATTCTACCCTAGGGTGTTTTCCAAGATCCTTTTCCCAATTCCCTATAAAGATAAGAACTACCAAGAATTCCACCATAGACTCCAGACCCCACACTTCTATCGGCCTTCCAGAAGCCCACACCTAAACATGAAAAGAATTACAATAAATCTACTTTCTGAAAATTAGAGCAAGGGCCAGAAGATAAGGTCTTGCAAGTGGCAAACCTGAGTTCAAATCCCAGAGCCATACAAGTGATCCCAATAATAATAAAATAAATATAAATATAAATAAATATAGCAAAAGACCAGAGATAGGCCTGGCATGTGTCAGGCTCTGAGTTTGAGCACAGTCACCACATGGTCCCCTGAGCACTCCCAATATAGCCCCGCTGACCCCAGTCACTGCCAGCTCTAGGCCTGCTGATCCCCAAGCACTGACAGGGTCCCCAGCATCACTGGATTCATGCACCACAGTGCTGAGCCTTAGCACAAACCATCAGGCCTGCACTGCCAGACTGAGAACTGTCAAGAGTAGATCCCAAGGGCTGGAGCAATAGTACAGCAGATGGGTCATTTGCCTTGCACGCAGTCAATCCAGATTCAATCCCCTGCATCCCATATGGTCCCCCAAGCATCACCAGGATTAATTCCTGAGTGCAGAGGCAGGAGTAACCCCTGCGTATCACTGGGCGTGACCCAAAAAAGCAAAAAATGGGGGGAAAAAAAAGAGGAAAAGAGTAGATCTCAGGACCCCTGAGTACCACTGGCTGTCACCATAATTTAAAAAAGAGAGAGAGAGAGAGACGAGGCCACGAGTTGCCCCCCATGAGCGGCTCTCCAGCACGGCCATAGCACCAGAGGCACACGGACCTAATCCAGAGCCCAGCAGCTTGTGGCAGAAATGTGAATGGAGACTATGCGTTAGTTAAACTATGGTGTCATGCCCCCCCCCGGGAGGGAAAGGGTGTCTGTCTTTTCTGCCTTTTTCCCCCCAGCAGCAGGTGGCCGCCACCTCAGAGCTTATCAGACAGCCAGGAATGAGCCTGCGGTGACGGGGCAACTGCAGCCTCATGGGATGGGGGGGCGGAACCAGCACTTCCTTCACGCCCTACCGAGGCCACGAGTTGCCCCACACGAGTGGCTGTCCAGCACAGCCATGGCACCGGAGGCACACAAACCAATCTCGTAATTATGCGGCTCTTGGCAGAAATCCCTCCAGACTTAATTAGTAAAATATCAGAAATCCAAAATCACACAGCCAATTGCACAGCCGCAATAGCAGCCATGTGACATCACATGGTTTTCATAATCACGGTCACGGTCACGGTCCTCCCGTTGTTCATCGATTTGCTCGAGCGGGCCCAGTAACGTCTCCATCATGAGACTCGTGTTACTGTGTTTTTCATAATCAGCAATAAAAAACCAATTATTTCACAATGCCTTTTCAGCAGTTCTGATTGTTGGGGGAAAACTCCAAACAATAATGGTGCATCTTTTGCCGAAATAATGAATGTAATCAAAGTAGAGAGAGAGTTAAGTAGAAATCATCTGCCTCACAGGCATCGGGAGGGGTGGGAGGAGGGGTACATTGGGGTTCTTGGTGGTGAAAAATAATTACTGGTGAAGGGATGGGTATTTGATCATTGTATGACCAAGAGTTAAACCTGAAAGCTTTGTAACTTTTCTCACAGTGATTCAATAAATAAATTTAACAAAATAAATAAATAAGAAAGAAAAATTAATCACTGTGCAGTGATCCCTACCACTGCAAATGATTTTCAGCTTTAGCAGAGCCAGGTGTGTATAAACACAACAATGGGCTGAGACCCCCAGTGAGCACCATAACTAAAAGATGCATGAGCAACGCAGCTGGGAAGCGTGGCCCCTGGTGAGAATGTGTGTGAACTCCACTCTCACAACCCCACCTTCCCTAAAGCATGACCATAACTCGTGGGCCTTATTAAAAGGGCAACCCCCAGGGAGCACGTGTACAAGCATCTTGGAGAGCATTGTAAACTGAGGGTCATTACAACATCAACAAAACAATATGAGCAAAGGGAAGGGGAGCAGAGGGAATTAAAACATTACATTTTAAAAAGAAAACAAATTCAAAATGAAACACAGTGAAATTCTAAAAAAAAAAGAAAAAACCCTATGAGCAAACATTCTGACATTAGTATTTATCAGGTTCTTATAACAGCAATTCAACAAGTGCTGAACTTGAGGGCTCAGAGAAGCCCAGAATTGAGTTTGAATTCAAACTGCATCAACACTGTGGAGAGCCAGCATTGGAGCTGAAATGGCTCTGCCTGCAAAGGTCCTATCCACGTGCAACACTCTGTCCTGCTGACCCTAGTTTGGGAATGGGGAAAGAGGGTTTACAATGATTTTTCCTCTTAATACAATCTATTCTCATCTCCTACTCTTTTTGAAGTATGAAGTTCCACAGTCTCTGGACACAGGGGAGCCAGCACCCTTCCTAGCCAGAAGAAGAGAGAGCCTGGCATCAGCTTCACAGACCGTGATTAAATCTTGGAAGAAAGCACGCCAAGCCACAAAAATCCACAGGTACACCAGGTCTCCCAGCTGAAAACTCTGGGGTGTCATTAGGAGAGGGGCGAGCAGAGTCCCAACTCGGCTGAGACCCCCACAGAGGCACTCACAGCCCCACAGCTGCCGCCATGCAAACTGCCCAAGTCCACAGCTTCACAGAGAATCTCTGCCAACACCAAACTGCCGAAAATTCCAGGTGCATCAGTCCTCAGGCTGAGAACTCTGGGGTCTTCTCAGAGTGGGAGCAGGCAACCTCCCCCAACCCATACTTCCGGAAGCCATAGCAGCTACACCCACATCTCATGCCTGCTGCCATGAAAATTCTTAGCCCAGTTAAATATCCTGGAATTTCTGGAGCATGAGGTCGCATTTGTCGCACCAAAGGCTCAGTTAGTAACAAAGAGCTCAGTAAATCCTCAGATAAGGACTTATTGACCCCATGGTGAGATATAACCATTTTCATAAATTTTCTTTTACTGAAGTAATTTTTTATAGTTCCATTAGCTAGCTATAATAAGCAATATAAAATGAATTATTTTCTGCCTGCTAAGGGGATAGGCTTAGGGAGTGGTTGGGAAAATAGGGCCAATGGTGATGGGATTGTTGGTGGAATGCTACTGTATGCCTGTAACAAACGTTTTGTGAACAACTTTGTAAATCAAGATGTTTAAATAAAAGGGAAAAAGTTTTTTTAAGAGACAGCCTGGGATCAGTACAGGAGAAGCAGGACTCAAAAATCTTGGTGAGTGCAACCTTCCATTTCCTCAATACCTTTTCACTTGGCTACAATATGGCTTTGGGAAAGGGGGGTTTGGGGCCACATCCGGCAATGGCTCAGGGTTTATTCATGGGGCTTATTCTGTGCTCATGTGCTCCTCCCCTGACAGTGCGGGGGGGCGGGGGCATATTGTGCTTTGGGAATGGAACCAAGATCAGCTGCGTACAAGGCAAGTGCCTTAATTATCTCTTTGGTCTTACAATTTGCATTTTTAAAACTAAGGACCTCAAGATTGGGGATATGGCTCAGTGGTAGAGTGAGAGAGGGAAGGAGACTCAGTAAGTCTCATACATGTTATTTCGCATGTATGAGATGCTGAGTTTAGCTCAAGGCACCACAAAATTAAATGTATAGAAATAAATAATCTAGGACCTAATTCATTGGCCAGATAAATCCTCCATTGCTTTCTCTCCCCTACATGTCCCATTCAACATTCAGACTTCCAACCAGCCGGAGCCAGCCCCCACCCCCACCCCCAACACCTTCCATACCAGCAGGAGAACATGTGACTGCCAAGGAGTGTGCTGGTGAGCAAAGGGAGGTCGGCCTTTTTGACTCGGTACTTCAAAGCATGCAAGAAGCATTGCAGCAACAGTTCATCCATTTGCTCTGCAAGGGAAAGACAGGGAGCCACAACATTTGAGGGAGAGACATGCATTCCACAGAGTAACAAACGCTCCCCCAGTTCCCTCTCTGTTCCACCCTCTTACCTCCCATGGAACCCATACCCAGGGTCCAAAGCTCTCAGGCTCTTTGAGCACTGAGCCTTTAAAAAAGGGCTGGCCCCAGAGAAGCAGTTAGACCACAAGCTAAACCATTAAGAACAAGGATACATGAGGTCAGACTGACTCCCAAGAAATGTGCGTTACGTGGAAAGGACTTCAGGCAAAAGCTATTGCCACCCTTAGCCCAAAACGGGCCTTTACCCCTCTCCAGAGGTTTGTGCTGCCAGAGGCAGAAGCAGAGCACAGCTTCTCCCTGAACTGGGAGAAGGGAGACAGCCCCACACACAAAGCGCCAAACCTTGAAGGGTCCTGCTGTCCTTGGGATCTTCTGAGGCTTCTGATAGGGACTCCATCCCACAGAGCTGAGGACACTCTCCATTCTTCTCCTCCTCTCCCTCCAGAATCAGGCCTCTCATGGCTTCCTGCAGAGTGGGATCTGAATGGACAGACCCCTTCTCTTCCCTGAGTTCTGAGGAATCCAGGGTCAGTGGAGCGATAAAGGGTGGTGAGGACTTTTGCCCAGATTGCCTGGAAAAATCTTATGTCAGGAACACCAAGCAGTATCACAAAATTTTCCAACCCTGGCCACGTGCTCAGCCAAAAGTCCCAAAGCATATAGGCATCAAGAAGGCAGAGAGCCTGCTCTCTCTCTCTCTCTCTCTCTCTCTCTCTCTCTCTCTCTCTCTCTTACTACAGTTCCAATTCTGAGCCCAGGACAGTACCATGCCTCGGTTTCCTCACCTCTGAAATTGGGAGAACAATTCTGGCCTCCTCCCTATCCCCAAGGAATGAGTATTATCAATAGATAGGCTTAAGACAGAGAAAGATGGGGACGGGGGGGGGGGGGGGGAAGCAATTTGTAAGACCCCACCCCTTAAAAAGTATTTCTTGGGAGCTGGAGCGGTAGCACAGTGGGTAGGGCGTTTGCCTTGCACGCAGCCAACCCAGGTTCGATTCCCAGCAACCCATATGGTCCCCTGAGCACCGCCAGGAGTAATTCCTGAGTGCATGAGCCAGGAGGAACCCCTGAGCATCGCCGGGTGTGACCCAAAAAATTAAAAAATAAAAAATAAATAAAATCGACTTTTAAAAAAGAGTATTTCTTTATTTGAGTTAGAAATAATAAATATATTTTGAATTAAATAATAAAATCAAGGTTTCAAATCTATCTGCAGTTTCAGTCTGGTGAAATACAGTCTCAGCCCAAAGTGTAAAACACATAATCTCCTTAAGGACTACAAAAGCAAAGACTGCTATGTTAAATTGGAATACAATCTCACTTACGGAGACTAAACCTCAGGAAGACAGAAAAAGATCTGATGCCAGAGAGCATGTAGAGAGGTGAAAGTAAGGAGTCTCACTCTAATCAAGATTATAGAAATCAAACAAGTTTCAGCTAATAGTGGCATGATTCATTAGTATTATTAACAGAAGAGCCAGAGAGTATGTCTAGGCCAGTCTGATCAGGCAAATAACATAACTATTCTAAGTATGTGTGTGTACAGGGGGGCTGAGAGGAGGAGGATAGAGGGATGGAGGAGCAATAAAACTTTTAATAAAACAATTTTGGTAAGTTACAGAATTTCGATGAGAGTTGCCCAGACTACAGATGCAGACAAATATCAATATGCAGCCTTCACATGTCTGCTAAAATATAGGATAATAAGTTCTTACAAAGCAGAACTGACGAAACCATACAAAGGGCTGAGCACATGCTTTGCCATGTCGGAGCCCCAGATTTGATCCCCAAGTCAAAAAAAAGCAGGTCACAACAGAAGACCAGAGCAAGGACCAGAGTGATAGCATAGCACATAAGGCACAAGTCTTGCATATGGCAGATTCAGGTTCGATCCCTGGCATCCCAAAGGGTCCCCAAAGCACCATCAGGAAAGATTCCTGAGTGAGAGCCAGGAGTAACCATTGAGCATCACTAGGGGTGGCCCAAACAACAACAACAACAACAACAAAAAGACCAGTGCTTTTGAGAGCATCACCATTTGCTCTTCTATTAGAATGACAAAGACTAATCAGAAAATAAATTGATGTTATATGGCTGGAAAAAGTAATTGCAACTGTAAAGAAATGGAGCTTCAAAATGTGAGATGATACAACATGAGTAATCAGTTTCTCGCTTGGAGTCTGAGGATTTGGCTTTAGAAATGAAACTGCTCAGAGCCCTCATCATGCAGCAAAAAAAAAACAAAACAAAACAAAACAAAAATGTGAAGGCCAAAAGTCAAAGTCAGATCGACCAGAATGAGAAAATAAATCAAGATGCTATGCTGAAGGACAAAGAAGATAATCCCTAAAGTCTTCTTCCAGGCCTATAAAATACAATCCACCCAGAAAATAATCAAAATTCTAACTTCTTCTCTGAATAGGCAACAAAAAATATTTCCTAGCTGGGAGATAGCTCAAAAAGCTAGCACATGCTTTGCCAGTAGGAAGCGCCCAGCTTCAATCCCTGGTACATCACCCCTAACCCTGTAGGACTGACCCTTCAGTACTGCTGGGTGACCCAAACCTCAAAATAATAACAGTAATAATAACTGCTCCACATTCAACAAGGAAATGAGTCTGGGGGTAGCACCATACCTAAAAATACAGTAAGGACCAAAAGTTTCACTTCTGAACTCTCAGGTCCTGTGCTCTCCCCATCTCAACCCTCCTCAACTCTCTGTAAAGCAGAAGAAAGATGGAACCCACCACAGGTGGTCCTGGTAAGTGTGGAGCACAGAGAAGCCCCTTCCCTTCAGGTTGGCAGTCAGCATCTCAGATGTCGATGTGGCAGCAACTCCAATGGCAACAGGGGCTCTATAAAGAGGAGGCCAGAGACAAGGATCACGGGTGTCTTCTGGGAAGGCAGATGTCAGGACCATCTCTCCATACATGTGCTAAAAGTACCCAGTTACAAATACAAAGCATCCATAGAATTAGACCCAGTCTATTCAATTTTCTTCAGATTACCTATCAATGATGACTTTCAAAAATCCTTCACCAAACAGAAGGATTTCAAAAATCCTTTACCTATACAGAAGTTACCTCTTCTGTATAGGCAACTCCTTTGTTGAACCTTATCAGTCCGTTTGCTTTATCCCTATTCTGAATTATATCCAGGTAGGACAAGGAAAGATATTTTTTTAAAAAACTGTTTTCATTTCAAAAATATAAATGAACAATATTGGAGAGACACCGTGACTGAGTCACCACAGGTAGGTCAGGTCTCGGAGCTGAGATCACTGGAGCCTCTTGCGGAAGGAGGTGGAACAGGTCCCCCACCCTGCTGGATGGCCCAGGCCCCACCCACACCTGGCCTCCTCCATCATACAAATGGCAGAGAAGCCATGCTGCTGAATCATTCCATTTCCACAGCTCCTGGAGTGGTTGCAACATCTCCAAATTTCATACCAATGACAATCCAATGGGAGCACAGCAAATTAGATAAAAAAAAAAAGTTGCATAGAAGCCCACTGAGCTCAATGAGCAAAAACAGTAATACAGAAGGCTCAACAGCAACTAACAGCTCAACAAATCCTCTATGACTTCAGTAGCACCATTGTGAAATATATATTGTAACAAGCCAAATAAAGCAAATTTGGTTTTGCCTGCTAACGAGGCAGCCTTGAGGGATAGGTGGGAAACTGGGGACAATGGTAGCAGTAAGGTCACACTGGTGGTGGGACTGGTGTGAGAATGCTGAAAAACATTTGTGAAAAACTCTGTATATCCTTTATTTAAACGGATGTTTAACCCTCTGTGTAGCACAGTGGGTAAGGCGTTTGCCTTGCACGTACCCAACCTGGGTTCGATTCCCAGCATCCCATATGGTCCCCTGAGCATGAGCCAGGAGTAACCCCTGTGCATTGCTGGGTGTGACCCAAAAAGCAAAAAAAAAAAAAAAAAAAAGATGTTTAAATAAGTTTCTAACACTAATAATAATATTAATGTCTCTAAACGTTACTGTTGAAAAGAAAAGGCAGCTAAAACTATGCTCTAAAAGCCGAATTAGGAAAGCAAATACAAATAAATTTTAAAAATACTTAAATTACATTACTATTTTTTGGTTGATTTGTTGAGTCACACCCAGTGCCTAGGGCTTATTCCTAATTCTGCATTCAGGATCACTCATGATCCTGGGGCTTAGGGGACCAATGTGGTGCCAGGGGTTGAACCCAGATTGTGAACGTGTAAGGTAAGTGTACTAAGTGTAATGCTCTGGCCTAACCTCCCCTATCTTAAAGAAAGTATAGTTACCCTATAAAGAAGCGGAGAAGGGAGGTGGTTCAGATGCCATGAATCAGCCTGAGGGTTTTCTAGGGAAGTGAGAAAAGTTATACAGTGGTGCAAACTAAAGAGGTTCCTTCAAGGTTGATTTACCATTGGGCATATCTGAGTGTCCAACAAAATATAAAACAACCATATTTATAGTAACTACAAGAACCTACAGAGCCCAGTTGGAGGCTTTGCCAAATTGATCCTCTAAGTCTGCTTATAATAGGGGGCACACAGCAAAGCAAGCTATCTACATCCATGGGAGAAACCTCAAGGGCAGCTAGCTATACAGACACCTGAACTTCACAAACTGGTCTCAACCTGCTGTTTCGACTTACTATGTCAATAGCTCACAATCTGCAACAGAAACTTTGAATCTGGTTCCTTTTTTGGTTTCTAAAAGTCAGTTCCTATTTCTTTAACAGCTAGAAGTGCTCTTAAAGTGGCTCAAGAACTTTAGTCTTGACTATGACTTCTAATTTTAATAAGCCCTGTTGCAGTCATCCTTCCTGCCTTCGCCCCTATGTGTACTCCCCTTTGGGTCAAATTGAACAGGTCAATACAACCACAGTGTAGTTCTCCCTAACCCAGATAGAATGGGTGGTATAAGGAGGCAGAAACAATAACACCGTCATTATTTTTAACTGTAAGATGCCTCCAACCCACTATACCTAAGGTAAAAAAGGAAGAAAACATGAAGGTGCTTGGTTTTGGAAGGAAAACAGGAGAACCTAAGGAGCAAAAAGGTATTTAAACACCTCTCATACCTACAATCTCCCTTTCCTATATCAAAGGGGCAATGAAGTAACAATGAGTAATAAAAAGAATGATTACATTTTTCATAAGAATCATACAAATAAAAGTGACCCATCATATCAAGGGCCATGAGAATGTATGGAAATGAGTTCAGAGACCCTTTAGGCATAGTGAAAAGTGATACAACATTTCTGTTGGATAACAGAAAATACAGATGATCTTCAGTCTACTTAGTTTTCATAGTATTCACTTTTGCAAAATACTGGCAATAACCACAAAGTCCATTACAAGAGGACCTTTCCTATCACACAGAGCTGGTAAAAAGACTCAGTATATCTGTGCTTACCAACATGAAAAATATTCACACTGGGTTGGAGAGTTAGTACAGGGGTAAAGGCATTTTCCCTGCATGTGGCTGACCCAGGTTCAATTCCCAGCACCACAAAGTCCTCTAGCATTACAAGGTGCAGGCCTAGAGGCCTCTGAGCATCACCAGGTGCAGTCCTAGAGATCTCCGAGTACTACCAGGGTGGCCCAGGTAATCCCTAGTACCCTAGAGCACCGCATCTGCTGAATCCTCTAGCCCTTGCATTGAACCACAAGTTGGTTGGCTGGAAATCATTGGTATGGAGTCTTGAGCCTCTTGAACAACTCCCTGAAGCAACCTCCCCACCAAAAAAAAGGAAAAAAAAATTGAAAGGAGAAACAGCAGCAACAACAAATTCACTCAGCCCAGAAGCACCATCCCACAGGCTCACTGTCATTTCCCCTGGGCCACTCTCTGGTTCTTCCAGATGAACCCAGGGTTTTATTTCCATTTAACACTTTACCCATGTGTATTGGAAGTCGTCGTTCCCCACCACATGCCCCTCTTTTACCTTAGTTTTATCCCCACAGTCTCAGCTGATTGGCACAGTACCTGTTTCCCACCAAAGCAATGGCACAGAGGTCTCCCTTCTGTACCTGAGGCAGACCAGCAGGGGGAACCACTAGTCCAGGCAGCATCAAATCTGCAGCAAATATAAGCATCACAACCTACATTATGCTTCCCTCTAATTCCACATTTACTTCATCATTTATTCATGCATTCAACAAAACATTTATTAAGTATCAAATACATTATTCATAATGAAAATTAAAAATGGGAACCTGAATATCAGACCTTTCCTCTCGAGAAAGTGGTCAAACTGAAACACCAAGCAAAGGGATCAATTCCATGATCTAACCTATCCTGGCTTCCTACATTCAGCTTACTGATTTAAAGTACAGTATTTGGCATTTCAAAGTACTTTCACATCATTTATTTAAGCCTTCCAACAACATCGAAGAGGCCCGGAGAGCTCATGAAACCAGTCAAGTGAGAATGCAATGCACATTTTTTTTAGCCATATAAACACAGGAAATGGGAACATTTATTAAATTAGTTGTCTCTTACTATAAGTTTCAGTTAGAACATAAGAAAATCATCTTACCTGCTCCCCCCACCATTTTCTCAAGCACTGGAGGCCATGTTGTAAAGGTTGGGAGAAGATCAGGATAAGTCCACAGGGTGTACACTGTCCAAAAAAGAAACCCAGAAAAACAATGCCAAAAAAGTCATTCCCCCCAGGAAATTGGCAAACCAAACACCACAATCATTTTAATTAAGATACAGAAGAGAAACTTGACTCAAAGAGAGAATCTGTGAGGGCGAGGCCAAAGAGGTTTGACTCCTGAATTCAGCAGAGAAAATTGAGGGTAATTTGACATTTCAGACTCGGACTGTCGCCAGACTGTTCCATCTGGATTGCAACAGTAAAAAATGGCCATGGTGGATAAAGGTGGCTACAGAAATCCAATGAAGATGCTATTTATAACCGCATAAGCAAGTACCTCAAGAATGGGACATCAGCCTGAAAAAAATGTTAAGACTTTCCTATGTTTTTATTATTTTTAATTCTTCTATTTCCATAGTGACTAATAGATCACATTTGTATGGCAGCAAAGAGGGGTGGGGCAAGGTGTGGTCCGGGGAAACCACAATGCACTGTTACAACCAAGCTACAAAGAAAAAAAGCCCCAAGTAAAAAGTGAGGGTCCACAGCTACAGAACAAAAAAGAGACTCTGTTCCTGACAAAGAGAGAGACAGTGAGAGACAAGACAGAATCCCTGTGAGATTTCCATGGAAACATACCACTGAGAGACTGGGTATGTAGTTCAATTAATCCAAATTCTTTGCTATCACAGGAATGCCTCAACATTTTAAGAAAATCCTGCTAGGAACGGGAGTTTGTTTGTTTTCGGGTTTGTTGGGTTTATTTTGGGTTTCTGGCCACACCTGGCTGTGCTCAGGGCTTATTCCTGGCTCTGCATTCAGGGATCACTCCCAGCAGGACTTAGGGATAGAACTTGGGCAAGCACCTTACCCACTGTGCTATTTTAGCCCAAATAGTGGAAGTTTTAAGAACCATTTTTTACATGACCTGACTCGACGGTCAGGGATCACTCCTGATGGGGTTCAGCAGACCACATGGAGTGCTGGGAATTGAAACCAGGTTAGCTACATGCAAGGCTAGTGTCTACCTTGCTGTACTATGTCTCCATCCCCACAAAGATCTTTGAGATGGTATTGGAAGATTTTTTGCTTGTTTATGAAAGACAGGTTGACAGAGAGAAACAAGGTCTCTCTAATAGCCAACTTCAACCTATTGTCATACCTGTTGGATACAGATTTTTCTCCAGCTCAAATAGGATGGGATTACCACCACTCATGTAAACAGTCACTGCAGTCCCTTTGTGAGTATACAACTTGACAATGTTGAGTTCCTCCTTTCCGGGCACTAATTCAGAGACCTGATCAGTTCCCAGGGTGGGAAAAGCAGTCATCACATCAGCCCGAAGCTTTCTCCTGCAGAAAAGGCATCGATACCAGGTATGAATGCTGTTTGGTTTAAGTTTAATAAATACTGAGAACTCAAAGAGCTTACTGTCAAATCATAAGGGCCGAAGAAAAATGCCCACTTCTCACCTTTTCCTCCTTTCCATCCAATTCAACATACCCCTATTTTCACATGCTGCTAGGTGTGTTTTTACAATTGTACAGGAAAAGCTGAGCTCCAGTGAGCAGACTGACACTGGAAATTCAGTCCATACTTACCTCTTGGACCCATGCTTCTCTCATATGTACGTGGCAAATCTGTCAGCCAACTAATCATTAGTTATACCAGAACACCTAGAATGACAACTCACTCTTGATACACTTCGAACACTCATCCCTAAATTCCCAACGTGCTATCCGTATTTGCAATACTGAAAAGACGCAGTACTCCGGACCACAGATGCCTTCTCCTCTTCTACCTCACCTTCCATCTCTCTCCTGCCAGAAGTTATCACTAGACACTGGCTGTTCCTTCTATAGCCAGTTCCTGGTACTACTCACTAGCTCTCTCCCAAGAGGCTCTTTGCGGGTTAAAAGCCCTATATTCCTTCCTTTTTTTTTTTTTTGCATCCTTCAAATTTTTTGCATCCTGAAATAGTCTGCAACCAACAAACGACGATCAATCACGTTTTCCTTTAAACGCGGAGTATCCAAAGAGAGTTGAGGCGCTCAGTCGGGTCCTTCTATTTCATCCCGAGGATGTGTCTAACTCACCCTTACCCTCCGGGTTCCTTCCCGCCCGGCTGTCCCCGCGGGCCTCCACCCCTGCTCGGCTGAACCCAGATGGGGCTGTGGGAGGCGGACGCCGGGGTGTCCTCGTGGGGGAGCGGGCCCCGGCCCTCCCTCACCTGTCGGACCCCTTGATGGCTGTATTCGATCTGACCCGAAAGGCCTTGGTAAACATGTCTGCGGTAGTGGCCTGAGGAAGACGGGGGACAGCACAGAGTCGGGGCCGTCAGGAAGGCGAGCGCGTGGCAGCGCTCCGACCCGCGGCCCTGCGGGCAGCCATGCTGGGGCCCGGCTCGGAAAGTGGCTCGGCTGGAAACCCGGGCCGCCCTGCTCTGAGGCCACCGCAGCGCTGGCGGCAGCGGCCGCCCCTAGCGGCGACGCGGGGAAAGGAGACGCCGGACCGGGAGGTGGGCCCGACGGCCGGAGAGGCGGGGCCCAGGGCGGGGCGGAGCCCGGGAGGCGTGGCCCGGGAGGCGGGGAGGCGGAGCTCGGGGACTGGAGGCGGGGCTCGGGAGTCGGGAGGCCGGGCCCTGGAGGCGGAGCCCGTGGTGGGGCGGAGCCCGGGAGGGGAGAGGCGTGGCTCGGGAGGCGGGAGGCGGGGCCTTGGAGAAGAGATACGGGGCGAGGCGGAGTCCGGTAGGCGGGGAGGCGGGGCCTTGAAGAAGGGATCCGGGGCGGGGCGGAACCCGGGAGGCGGGGAGGCGGGACCGGAGGGGCGGGAGGCGGGGCTAGAGAGGCGGGAGGCGGGCCCCGGGGCGGGGCGGAGCCCGGAGGTCGGGGTACGGGGCCGGGAAGGTAGGAGGCGGAATCCGGGAGACTGCGATGTGGAGGCTAGGGGCGGGGCGGGGGCCGGGAGGCGGGGAGGCGGGGCGGGGCGGAGCCAGGGAGGCGGGGCCGGAGGGCGGGAGGCGGGGCTTGAGAGGCGGGGGGCGGAGCCCGGGAGGTGGGGATACGGGGCCGGGAAGGTAGGAGGAGGGGTCCGGAAGACGGAGATGCAGGACTAGGGGCGGGGCGAAGCCCTGGAGGCGGGGCCCAAGAGGCGGGAGGCGGGGAGAGGCGGATCCCGCAGCGTCAGTTTCTGCGCCAGGTTCACGCAGCCCTGGAGTGGCGCCTGTCTAGGTAGTGACCTGCCGCGGCTGACAGCTTTTCCACTCTGTAGGCATCGTGCGTTGCGTAGGTGCTCTGCTAGCTCCTTTTCGTTCAGTTCTACGTTAACTGAATTCTTGTGTTTTGTCTCTTTATTAAAAACCTTACATTTTGTTGTATGCAGGAGGCCTCGGGGAGGATTCCCTTCAAGAGTCTCTGTGCCCTGTTTCTTTTTTTTTCATTTACAAGGATCGGTAATAACAAGAGGAAATTCACTCTTGCCCCAGGTTTGTCTCTCATATCACAAGGAAAGACTACAAATGATCTTTATTGTGTAGGGGGGATTGGGGGTCTGTGTGTTTCCACAGTAATAACAAAGTATTATTTTTTAAAAATCAAAGACAGATTTGGATCAAAATATGGCTTGGTTTCACCCTATGGTTTATTTTTATTTTTTAATTTTTATTGTGAAACACCATGAGGTACAGTTGTAAACTTACAAATTTTTGTGCTTGGGTTTCAGTTATACAATGATCGAGTACCCATCCCTCCACCAGTGCCCATTCTCCACCACCACTAATCCCAGTATCCCTCCCACCCTGCCTCTGTGGCAGTCGCCCTATGGTTCTGACGCTTGTATTCTTTGTAATATATACCTCAGAGAGGTATATATAAATGTCATATGTACCTTAGCGACTTTTCTTGAGAATCACTTGAGGTACTGTATGTGTGATGGTGCATAGTCCTTTGCGAATTTACAATTAATAGTAGGCAAGAGTTTTCTTTGAAATCTCAGGGATGAGGGATGGGTTTTCTCTGGGAGGAACAGCTGTGCATTCGTGCTTAGGTTTGTGGGTATGCCTGTGGAGAGAGGTTTGCATGTAAGAAGGTCACCAAACATGAGGGGCCAGGATGATTATGGAGCCATCTGGAAGAAGGTCCTTAGAGATCTTTACATAATCTTCATGCCCTTCTATGGTCTCTTCCCATATAATTTAGGGCAAACATCTGCAACCATAGGGTAATGACCAAAGTGACAATGGATAACTCTGAAATTAGCTCATAAAAGACTGTAGCTTCTATTTGGTCTCCTAGATTTCTGACTTTAGGGAAAGTTAGTCACAACCTTAAAAGGTCACTTCAAGAAGCCTGTAAAAAAGGTTCATGTAGAAAGGAACCTGATGGTTCCAACTTGCTTGCTCTGTAACCAACCCACCCTGGAAACAGCCTCTATCCCTAGACAAGACTCCCACAAATTTCATTATTCTAAATGAGGCCCCAGCTACTAGGGAACAGAGATTAGCCACCTACACTATATCACTATGTTTTCTCCCTTCCTGAGTTTCTTACCTATAGAAACCATGAAATGGCAGCACTGTAGCACTGTCCTCCCATTGTTCATCGATTTGCTCAATCGGGCACCAGTAACGTCTCCATTGTGAGACTTATTGTTACTGTTTTTGGCATATTGAATATGCCACGGGGAGCTTGACAGGCTCTGCCATGTACGTGGGATACTCTTGATAGCTTACTGGGCTCTCTGAGAGGGACACAGGAATCGAACCCGGGTCAACTGCACGCAAGGCAAAGGCCCTACCCGCTGTGCTATCGCTCCTGCCCAATTTTAAAACATTTGCCAATAAATCTGTAACATTTGTGAGTTTTTATGAATGTATATTAGGAGGCTCATACCTGCAAATGGAAACCAGAAGGAGAATTTGAAGAAGACAGAGTTCCTGGTCTCTGTTGGAAGGCCAGCAATACCACAGCACGCATGAGAATAACTGTACCCACTTCCCAGCCAGCCAACTGAAAATGTCATGAGAGCTCCAACAAACAGTGACGACTCTGTGTATATGATGACCTCCTTTGGGGGACTGCTCAAACCAATCTACTGGGTTTTCAAAATCCCCTTTCTTCTTCATTGACTTTCCTAGACTATTGTATCTGATGATACCAAGGAAAACCTAAAGAAGACTTCAGACTGGCAATGGGACAAAAAAATATTCGTATAACTTCTCAAAAGTAGAACCATCTATGTCTTAGAAGATTAGTTCTTTCCTTGCCTGGCATGAATCTATAAAGAAGTGATCTGAGGTACCAAAACCTGACTTTGGAGACTCTCAGAACCTAATGGACTCTGGGAAAACTTCACAGATGAAGGAAACCTTAACAGATGTCCCCATCTCCACAGTCCTATAAACTCTGTAACTTGGTATACGTCACTGGGAGAAGGGAAAGGCAAAGTGTGTAGTGAGAGAGGGAAGAGGGAGGAAACCTGGCTGTTAGAAATAGGGTTCTTCTGTGGTTCTAAAGGAAACAAGGCAGAGGATTAGCAGAGTTTAGCTGGGTAGGTCAAGATTTTCTTAAACTTCATTAACAGAATTTTAAATGATACCAGACTCCTTTTTAACTACTGTTTAATATACTTTAGGATCCTGTCATCAAACCTGTGAGTTCAAAGTGTGGGTGAGTGACATCGTGTTCAGTGGCAGAGAACCAACTCCCCAGCTCCCCAGCAGAGGAACAGAGAGACGGGGGACCACAGATAGATGGTGAAAATGACCTGTTTAAAACTGTTGGCATGCTTATAGAACATCTGAGGGGGTTCAAGGTATAGGACTGCATGTAGGTGTGACCGATCATTTATAGAGGTAAAGTACTTCAGTGGAGGCAATTCTATAGGGGGGATTAACTCAAGGAGACATTCTGTTTCCCAGAGACATCTATATTTCTTTCTCTTTCCCTTTAGTTGTACATATGAAACTTCTTATTAATACTTGCAGTTATTTGTATAAAAACAGTAAGAGATACAGGTTCCAAAACTTAGTTCTTGGGGCTCTAAGGGTAGGCAAGGCCTTTACCGTAAATCCCAGAGTAGGTCCACAGGCTGGTTCAGCTTGTCCTTCCCCATGGGGGTCCTGTCTCTTAAGTCATAACAGCTTGCAAATAGACAATGCTTTTATGCTTTCTAGACTGTCCCATTTTGATGCTGGGGTAGATTTGCTGCTCTCCCCAGGGTCCATCTAAGGCCCACAGTGGGACTCCCTTTTATGGGGTGTTAGGAACTACACAACCAACACCTGAGTAAAGTAATTATGATGGAATCCCATAAATAGATATATATATCAGAGTCAGTCAGTGCCCAAATATTAGTAGCACAGAATAAATAGTCTTTCTGTGTTTAATCAAAGAACACTGCTCTATGGTAAAATATTAAAAGACTATAGGGGAAATATAAAAGTATGTAATTCACTTCAAATACAAAGTCCAGAATCACCAGAAGTTTTGGCTTATAAGTAACCAAAACTGACTAGGGGGATGTAACAATGAGAGGTAAAGCACAAAAGAAAGGTTAAAGATAAACTCAGGGGATTAGGGGTGCTCGAAGAGCACTTAAGTTTCTCTGGGAGGAGGAAAAGGTGCAATTCACTAATGAAGCCTAAAACATTTAGGTTAATATCCAACAAAACTCATTGTTGGAATTGCATCGGTAGATTATACAGAATTACACAGAATCTGAGATGCAGGTGCTGTGGGATTTATTCTGAATGCCATACTTCCTCCAGTTTTTCTTTTGGAGGGCTGGGGGCCTCCCAATCAATACACAGGGAACCCTAGAACCACTCCCAGTTACAAGTGGCTAACTGGGGCAAATGGATCAATCCCAGTGATGAAAGGCTGTTTGAGTCCTCTGGTGCTAGGGACTACCAGGGCAAACCCAGTGGTGCCTGAGGGGCAATGTGGTAGTGGGGATTGAACTTGGGTCTCACACGTATGAGATATGAGTCCCAAAACTTTGAGCTATCTTGTTGGCCTTAGTTTTAAACTGTTATTATTTATATGTTATCACTGTCACTGTCACGGTCCTGTCACTGGCCTCCCATTGTTCATCAATTTACTCGAACGGGCCCAGTAATGTCTCCATTGTGAAACTTGTTGTTACTGTGTTTGGCATATCGAATGTGTCACGGGTAGCTTGCCAGGCTTTGCAGTGCAGGTGAGATACTCTCAGTAGCTTGTTGGACTCTCCGAGAGGGGCAGAGGAATTGAACCCGGGTCAGTCGGGTTGGCCAGGTGCAAGGCAAATGCCCTACCACTGTGCTATTGCTCCAGCCCCATAAGTTATCATAATTTTTTATTTTGGGGCCACACTCATTGGTGCTCAGGGCTTATTCCTGAATCTGTACTTGGGGATCACTCCTGGCATCATTAAGGCTGTTATCTCCCGCCAAAGACTTGGGATCCCATATGTGGTGCCAGGGATTGAACCTGGATCTACTGCATGCA